TTAATGACTGTAGATAACGAAGAATATAGAGTTGGGTTTATCAGCTTTACGTGGCGAGAAAGGTCCTGTGTACGATCGGATTGTGTTGAATGCTGGGATAGTCGATCACCTGCTAGGATGTGACGGTGCAGAAGATATATTTGCAGCCATGGGTAGAGCTAGAGAAGCTATTGATAGTGGCAGGGCACTTAACAGGCTTTTGAGTTACATAAAGAAGTCTAACAGAGTCATATGAAGTCGGCTAGTCTATATTAAATTTCTTTCTTGTTACAAAGTTAAATTTTGTTAGAGTTGGAATTTTTTTTCTTTTTTTCTGTGTTTAGTGTTAACACTTACCAAATAGGACAAGGGAGAAAAATGTTGTAGCAGCTGTTAGAGGTTTTGTTATATTTTGTCTCAAAATTGAGTGAGATACTTTTGTTCTGTAGAAAACTAGAAGTCGACTAGTGTCTGAAATGTGTTGATGTCAAATGATTTTGGCAGCATAGGGTGTAAACGACAGCTCGATTTGGGTTCGATTATTAATATTAATGAGTCAAACTCGAGCCTAAAGGAGCTGAACTTGAGTCTTTAGCAAATTATACTCTTATCGAGCTGACCAGCGGCTCGGTATTTATTTTTTTCTGGATTGCCGTGAATTTTTGGATTGTCGTGAATCCTATAGCTAACAAGTCAACCTAGGTGTCGTTTACTTTGGGGGACAGGACAGGATAAGGAAAGTTATCCCCTGTCATCTGTCGTTTACATCGAGGCATTGGGATAGGACTGGTCTGATGTGGCGTCCATGTGGCATCTTGAGTAACTCCTTTTATCATCAATTGGCCAATAAAATCCCGCCCTCATGCCTTGATTTTTTTATCCCTTACTGTTCATTCCTATTTTGTCTCAAAATTGTGTGTGAAAATACACAAAAACCCCTACACATCCACTTATTTACAATTAATACCAGTTAAATATTAAAATCTTTACCTTTGCCCTAATCTGTCTTCCGTCAGACAGAGCGAGTTGTTCTTACCTTGGAGCTCATCGTTGAATCCGACAGCAAGGTATGGTCGATTTTCATTCTTTTGTGTGTTTTCTTCATTACAACGACCCTAGTTAAAGGTTTTTTTGTGACTCACCTTTATTTTTGCTGAGTCGAGTTTTGTATTTCACTAATTTGGTTTAAATTTGGGGATTTAAATCTCTTTTATTTGAGAAATGGAGCCGAATTTTTGAACTGTAATTATCCGTCCTGCCATTTGCCTAGAAATTGCCGAAACGTAAAGTTAGTGATTATTCAAGAAGGGCAATGTAGTCTTTGGCTTGTGTATCATATCAGTTAATCCATGGAAGTAAATGACGGATTCATTTATGCAAATTCTATGCCGAAAAGTAAACAAGGGGCTAAATGCTGGCGTGGAAAGTGAGCTTGATTAATTTGTCTTATCCCATCCTGCAAAGTAAACGACGCCCTATAGGATTTACTGGGTTGTCATGAATCAAAATAACTGAATCATGTATATATTTTTCTATTGATGTCGATTATCCAATCATAAATTGATAGAGATTATTTTATTTTAGTTTTTCTTGCAAAACGATAAATGGGATTTTTGGAATAAAAGGTTAGCTAGCTAGTTCATAGAACTTACCAAGAGATTAGAGTAAATTCATTATTTATTCCATATGATCCTTCTTCACTTTTATTTTTCCACATTATCATGTCACACTTTATTCTCTCATTTCGTTTTATTTATTATTCTATTCCATCAATCACACTTTATTCTCTCATTTCATTTTATTTATTATTCAATTCCATCAAGATTTTAATTAGGCGGAGTTGGTGTTGACCCTCCCCCTCTTATAATAGTATAATCTGCAACTAATTTTCTGGGTTTGCCTAACACATTAAGAGATGAATAACTACTCATAAGAACATTACAAATAAGTACTGTTGGAGGGTTTGTAAAAGAAAAATAAAAATAAATCTTCATCGATGCAAGACAAAGAATTTAACATGATCAACACGATGAAAGTTATATGTGACGTGCCTTAAGTTTTCAATTTTTTTCGACATGAATCGATTTATATATGAACACAATTTAGACATGAATCGAGAGATTGTAGTTAGTTACCTAAAAGGGATAGAGATAGGAGTAACATTGAGGAATGCAAGAAGAATCTTGCATCCAGTCACAATTTGAATTAATGCAAATCATTTCATGTGTACCAAATTGTTGAAAAACTAAAACAAAACAAGCAAATCATGATGAAAGGAAAATGCACAAGAAAGTTGTGTTTCTCCATTTTCAGCTAAGAGCATAAAGTGTGTTCATCACATTCAATACGGCTAGGGTTTTACAGCTAGCATTTGTACATGTAGTACAAGATCACTCTCTCTCTCTCACTATTTACATCCTACATTAATAACCCTTAGATCATCTACACGTGGCATCATCTCCTTTGAAACTCGCTGCCTGCATGAAGCCACAGTACTTCTACGTGGGCTAGAAAGTGAAGGCTGACATGGCTCTGCTTTGACTTGATGTTCAACATGCCCCTCAATTCGAGTGAGCTCATAGAAACAACTTGCATTTTGTTCCTGAGACGAGCAAAGGATTGAAGACCCAACGGTTTTGTCATTATGTCTGCTATTTGATCATAAGATGGCACATGGTTCACAGCAACAACCTTGGCTTCTATCTTTCTCTCACAAAATGAAT